AATTGAGACTGCTACCTGAATCTGTGACTCCTGGATTGCAATTCCTTGCTCAAATAAATGTTCCTTGTTCTTTATTACAGCCTAAACTTCTTTTTTTGGTTATCACTTTCATCAAAGGCTGGGGAAGAGGCTGCACTGGCTCAGCCCTGTAACTCACTCATGGGGTTGGCAAGAGGGATGTTAAGAGGCCAGAGGTGGGGGGAGGGGTGAATCGGCGGGGCTGAGATGGAGGTCTACGCCTTCGAGGCCAAAGAGCAGCCCTGCAGACCCCTGAACAGAACAGTGGGCCCTGGGATGGGGAGTGGTTTGCTTGACTCCAGATCATGGGATGAGGGTGCCTCGATGTGACACTTTTGGACAGGGATCCTAGAAACCGCGCAGGTATAAAACGTGACTCCTCTTTTCCATCTGGAGCAGGAGGTGTGGGCTAGGGGCAGGGGTGAGGCTGGGGGAAGTGTGGGTTGGGGGCAGGGGTGAGGCTGTGGGAGACAGGTTTGGCAGCGTGCTCTGCGGCCCTGACCCCAGATTCTGGATGGGGAGGAGTTGCCATCACGAAGTCCAGAGAGGGCACAGAGGTGGGTACAGGTGGGAGCAGGAACGTCTGTGCCCTGACTCAGTGTCCCTGAGACTTCTTTCCCCTAAAGTTCGTAGCCTCTTGGAGGAAGAAAAAAACAGAGGGGACACGGATCTTATGGGGGACCTGGGTCTCCCTAACAGCCTCACTTGATCCTGGATCCCAGGAGGACTGGGTCCCCCCGGGCTGAGCTGAGCACCCCGCCTCTCACAGGTTTGTGTCCTCGGGCAAGTGACTCCATCTCCCTACGCCCCCTTTTCTCTCCCCTTTTCTCTGGAGATGACAAGCTGTTGCTGGGATCGTCAGAGGCTGACCTGAGATAAGGTTTGCAGAGCTCCCGGCACGGGGTTGTGTGCCTGGCATCTAATTCCTTCCCTCAAGGATGACATCTGCCTGAAGCCACTGCCGTCTCTATTCTGACTAGCAAAGGTAATGACGTCATTTCTAGGGCATCCGCCGTGTGGGGCAATGTGAGGCAAAGGGACCACTTGTTAGCAAAAACCTGTAAGTACAAACTTATAAGGAATGGAAACAATGTCCCCAAGTGTAGAAGGTTAGGCAATGTAAGGATCATTGCATTTAGAGCGGAGAGCTTGGTGGGGCTGGAGGGCTTCCTGGAGGAAGTGGGCTTGTGCTGGACCCTAAAGTGCGGGTAGAATTTTCATTGAGAGAGCAGGAGGGGATCACAGCTTTTGGGTGGGGGCTGTCCAGGAACGGGGACGCGAGCAAATATATGGGCAGTTGTGCCCTGTTACACCCAAGGATTTAAGTGGTGTTGGGACGGAGGTCATGGGTTGAGTGGAAGGAGAGATCCAGAGAGGTGTGTATGTGTGGTGGGGGGGCAGGCGGTAAACTGGGGGTGCCATACCTCGGCAGATCGAGGACTTTGTTCCGAGGGACAAATCTAGAGACAGATTTCAGAGCCAGGGAGTCACACCATGAACAACGAGAGAGGCTGGATGGAAGCAGCCGGGCTGAGTGTCCAGAACGAACCGGAGGTGGGTCCATGATTGGGTCTGGGTGATGGGAGGAATCAAAGCGTTGTAGAGATGGACGTGATCGTAGGAGATTGAGTCTCGTGTAAGCATTTGAGAAAAAGAACCTAAGTCAAGGGCACCGTTAGTCACGGGCAGAGTCAGCAATCGAACTGGCATGAAAAGCGGAGATTTGGGGCAAGGGATGAGGAGAGAACGAATCCGCCTCTGGAGTAATCAGGTCGGGGGGCACAGGGACGGATGGATGAGTGAGGAAAGGCGCCAGGCTGTGAAAGCATGGGGCTGACGCTCAGGTGGGGATCGGCTAGGATTTGGGGCAATTATCCTTATGGACAGGACACAGTGGGAACGGCATGGGGCAGTGTGCAGAGAGAAAAGGCCAGAAGCCCAAAGACTGAAGGTTGAGGTCCAAGAACAGGATCCAGAAGGGGTGGTCCGAGGTGGGATGTGGCCCGGATGTGGACATGGTCACTGCGAAGGGCAGGGACACTGGGCTGTGACCGCCCCGGTCCTGCTGTCGCGTATTAAAGAGGGCTACAGATTCTTTGTCCCCTCTCCCACTGAGATGTGGGGGCTTTGCTTCTTCCCCTTAACGTCTGGGCAGGTTGTGGCCGATACACCCACACACTAGAAGGAAAACGATGCCGTGCTAGCTTTCAGGCTCAGGCCTGGAGAGACTGGCAGCTCCAATTTCCTGACTCTAGGACCACTCATTCTTGGAACCCAGCCACCAAGTTGTAAAGAAGCCCCCAAAGCCTTGTAGACTGGCCCAAGTGACGAAGAATCAAAGCTCCCAGCCTCAGGCAGCACTAACTTACCAGTCGTGCGATGCCACCATCTTGAAAGTAGATTCTAGATGAGCTGCCTGAGAGGCTACAGGAAGCAGAGAGAAGCCATCCCTGCTGAGCCCTGTTCACATTCGATCTGTGACCAGAATAAACGATTGCTCTTAAGTCACTAGGTTTGCTGTGGTTTGTTATGCAGCAACATCTGGTCTCCTCAGAGCACTGGAGTCTCCTCTCCAAACACGTGGCGGATGGTGGGGGTCCACCTGGAGCCCCCCTCTCCCACCACCCACCCTTTGCTTCTGTTCTGGTGGCTGGTGACTCGCACTGGGCTTAGTAGTCAGTGGTGAGGGTGGCCCCAGGCCTCTATGGTCACACAGAGGGGGCTCGTGCTGCCTAATGAGAACAGGACAGGACGAGCTCCGGCCTGGGTTACCTGCTGGCAGCCCGAAGCCCGGCTTCCTATGCCATAAACACACAGAGAAGACAGCATCCTCTGAGCCCATGTCAAGTCTGACATGGTAAACAACTGAGAAATTTGGACCTCGGCTGAAGCAGGGGACAAGTAGCCAAAGCATTTAAACAACCTGATGCCTGTTTTCTTTTTTCCTGTACATTTGTTTATTTATTTATTTTTTTTAAAAAAGTGTAGGAAATGAATAAAATGCTACCTAAAAGGTATCTACAACAAATAAATAATTTCCAGTTAAGCACTGCAGATCCACACAAACCAAGTCTGCTAACCTCGATCAAGGTCATGTCCCAAGGACTTATGCTTCTCCCATCCTCTTCCTTGAGACATCCCCTCCCGTGCAGAATGGCTGCAGCCTTAGAGACTGGTCCTGCATGAGCTGAGTTTCTCCTGGATATGGCAGAAGGGCATTGGCAGACGCAGGGTGGAGGGGCATTGTGCTGGCACAGGTAGGCTTCACCAGGTGTGTCTGACTGGTTTCCAGTGACCCCGAAATAGTTTACATAAGTGGGGCCTGGCCTTTAAAGAAAAGAGTCAGGAGTATGTCAGGCTGGCACCTCCCAAGAGGCATACCTTCAGAAGACATGAAACCCACCTGAGGTCTCGGGAAGATGGCGACTCGACTTGACACGGAATTTTGGGCTCTTGGTTGAAAGAAAATGGCCATGCAGAGTCCTTGTAAGTAAAGGTTGATGTATGTATGATGGCAGCCATACCAGAGATGGCCAGCCACACTTCGGGGGGCAGTGGCGGGGAGGCAGAGCACTGACCCAGTGAACCTCAGAGGAGGCCAGGAGGTCAGGAAAGGTACAGAATGGAGGGCCGGGGTTCCAATGGTCATTTTTAATAATGATACAATTTCAGGTGAGCGAAGGAAGCCACAGCCCTCCTCTGGCTCTTTATTGACGCTTGTCAGCATCTCGGGTCAAGAGGCAGGGGGGATCTAGGCAGGAGCCACACTTTCAGAAGAGAAAGGAGCCCCAGGCAGCCCTGAGGGCATAACAAACAAACAAACAAACAAATAAACAAAACTCTTCCTTCTGGAAAGACTTCAAGAGGCTTTAGAATACACACCATTTAGGAGACTGCAAAACGCCTCTTAGCAGGGGCAAATAGCACATGAACAAGCCCAGGCAGTGCGTCTCGAAGGTGAATTCGCTGAACCCGGCGAAGCGCATTTATTTTTCAAAGGAGGTTTTGCCACAGAAATATTGAACTTTGGACTGTGCTGACAAGTCATAACGCATTCCTTCTCCTCCCAGATGAGAGCCAACGCCCGCAGGAGCTGGGCTGGTCATTACTGTAAATGACAGATGTGGGCTGTGTGTAAGAAACTTTCCTGAAACACACACCAGCCTCGAGGCCCGTCTTCTCCTGTGTTACAAGTTACGGGTCCCAAACGTCCCACTTCACTATGAGAAAAGCAATCCTGCAGGGGCACTGGTCGATGCAACAGACTCTGAGCCACAGGGTGGGGTGGCGACTGGGAGGGGTGGGGACTGCGGTGAACTGGTGAACTGGATGCTTCATCTACAGGTGCAGCTGCTTCTCAACACCAGCCGGTCGTTGGCAGGGGAGGACGTAAGCCCCGGCATGGCCAGCTCTTCTGATCTGGATTTTTATGTAAACATGTTATAATTTTAAATGTTAGTAACTCGTAAAAAAGATTCTGCCAGCTAAATGAAACACACCAGTGGGCTGGATCATTCTGCAGTCTCTCCTGCAGTAGCAGGAAGGTGTGGAAGGCTGAATAATAGCCCTCCAGAGATGTCCACGTTTTAATCCCCAGGACCTGTGGACACGCTACCTTACGTGGCAAAAGGGACTTTTTCAGTGCGACTAAATTAGGGATCTCGAGATGGGGGAGAGTGTCCTGGATTATCCAGGTGGGTTTTCTCAGTGAAAGACGGAAGCAGGAGGGTCCGTGTCACAGTGCCCGGGTGTGACCGGCCATTAGAGGCAAAGAACGTGAGCAGCCTCCAAAAACCAGAAACTAGAAAAGGTGAGGAAACAGATTCTCCCTTGGAGCCTCCAGAAGCAGCTTAGCTCTGCTGACACCATAATGCTAGCTCAGTGAACCCATTCTGTACTCCTCTCCAGAACCATAAGATAAGAAATTTGTATTGTTTTCAGCCACCATGTTTGTGGTAATCTGTTACAATAAGAAATCAATACAGGGGGCTGCTTTCTGCTGTATTTTAAAACATTTTTAGAGGATGGAATCACTCCCTAAATTTCTGTGTACACGCCAGAGTATTGCCGTAGCTGGGAGAGCCACACATGGCAATTCAAGGAAATTTCGCTCATTTCTAGGGCTTAAGGGCAATGGGACTCAAGATGAATTTCTGTAGACGGATAAAGACATGCAGAGCGAGAGAGAACCGAGAAGTCTCTTCTGAAAGAAGATGTGCATCAATGCCCTCAAACACACCCGCCCTTTCTGGCCGGACAGATTGCAGATTCTTCCCACCTCCCAGGGGACGAGCACATGTTTATCTAGTGGCCAGGAGACGTCAAAACCAAGCCATCCGACCAGTTAGCATGAGTTGTCACTGTGTCAGGCAAAAAGAACTGCATGGTTATACATTCAACTTCTTAAGCACACAGGGCCACCAAATAAATAATAATAAAAGGCACATTGTCAGTCTCGTCCAGGGGACCCCGTGAGAGTAGGATCCTCGGGTGGTCTCCTAGGGGTTAGGATTGGTGACCCCGCGGTCCAAATCCAAATCCAAATCCAGGGCCCCCTGCGTCCCTGTACCTGGTGACTCACGCCTCTCCTCTCTCATTAAGGCTGGTTTACGACCCGACCTGAGTTTAGAAGGACATGAGCTGTAATGTTTGTGTCCAGATCAGAATTCATCACTTTCAGCCTCTCATCATCGGAATGAAATCAGAAGTTGGTGTCCAGGAAAACTTTCTGCTGTTCCTTCCACATAATTTCTCTTCTTTAGGGTTTCTCATGGGCACCCTAAAGGTTGTCTCAGTGCCTTGCTTTTTATGCAAAGTCTTTGGGACGGGTCCAAGTTATTCCCCAGGCTCTGCTGGCTTGTGAGCGTCCAGCAAGGGAATGTCTGTGTTTTCATTGCTTCCATTCTCCATCTTGGGGTGGGAGAAGGTGTATGGTTCACTCTCAGACTCAGGGCTGCAGCCAGGGGATGGCTCCTCTGTGGTCAGCTTGGCAGTCGGGGCCCTGGAGCATGTGGGGGGTGGGGAGGGCGGGCAGTCTCCTGTGGGGCCCTGGAAGGGCCGGTAGGTGTCCGTCTCTGGCTGGACGAAGGACCCGTTGGAATCCTGCAGCAGATGCCCATATACCATAGTGTCATCGATGACCGCATATACGTGGGACTCGCTGTCCTTTCGTACCTTCTGCAACTTTTTTGGCTGCATGGGCATCTGAGTGTTGATGTTGCCATTGTAGATACCTACGGCTGGGCCCTTGTTTATCTTCTTTTTCCTACTGAGAGAGAGGGAGCAAGAGAGAAGTCAGGGAGACCACGGTCTTAGATGTGCACCCTCGTATGTCCCGGCTGGAACTCAGGTCCTTCGGGGTTCTGACCGCCTCTCCCCCGTGTCCCGTGATTCCTTAGCATTTGAAACTAAAATGACTGTCCTCAGAGAATGTTTAGAAGGAACCAGCTTCTGTCTCCAGTTTCCGAGGTGGAAACAGGGAGTAGATGGTGGTTTAGAGGAGACACTTTAAATACTATCTGTGCTTGAATTTGCTTGGACAGAAGCACAGTGTCTAATGGTGGAGACATCTGACACTCGTTCTTTCCTACTAGAAAAGGTGGTGGCACAGCATAGTGACACCAGGCACGGCATGTCCGGGCCAGCCTTCTGTGACTCAGTACTTTCCCGTAGCTAACGCTCCATCCCTCCCTTGCAGGGGTAAAAGCTCTCACTGTCTAGATTCTAAATGATAACAAATGAGAGTCAGGATTGAAAGGTCGATTCTTAGTTTTTATCTGGAGTTGGGGACGGTAGAACTCGGCATTGGCAGAGGGATCCAGTCCCTTCAGCAATAACCTTCAAACAGGGGGAAAAAAACTAAAAAAAAATAGACGAGTTCAGGCTGGGGTGCCAGAGTTTCTCAGTAACACCGTTCCCGTTCGGTTTGTAGGGCTCTTTGGTACTTGGAGGTGGACGGGCACTCACACCCCCTACTGTGGAAAACAAAGCTTTGCCCTCCGTCTCCACAAACCAAAGGCAGGGGGTGCTGACATTTTAGCTGACCAGTGATTCAAATGAAGGACATTATCTAAATGAACATAACGGGCCATGTAATGCACAGGCTGGCGTGGTTCACTAACTGCGGACAGGCTCCCTGTACTAGATAAAAATAAATCTAGTACATTTAGTTTGCAACACCGAGTCTCTGGCCAGGATGACAGGTTCCAAAGGCTCTGGCCCGATGCCCTGTGATAGATGCCCCTCCTTGGTGCTCCCCAATGCCTCGCTTGTCCCCACCAAAGCTCTTCTCATGCCATCCTGGAACTGCCTCTTTACTTGCCTGCCTCTTTAGTCCCTCCACCCGCTGGGCGGTGGGAGAACAGACTGTGTCTTGCTCCTCGTTGCAGCCCCAGTGCTATGCATGGTCCCCAGTGCCCAGGAGACCCTCAGAAATACATGCTCAATGACAACTCCCACGACACTGTCTTCGCTTGTTCTCACTGCAGAACCCGTCCACCCTCTTACACCGACTTGGGGATGGATGCGCCTTATGCAAACCTGCCCACCGGTAGCCTCCCCTACAGCCACTCTGGGGCTGGTGATCTGCAGGCCAGAACTGGGGCAGTTTAAAGCTGGGAGCTCCCCTCGCCCAGTCTCCTCCTGATGAAGAAGCTGGGGCCCAGTGTGAATGCCACGCTCTCCGATCTGGGTGGGACGTATTGTGCGTCCCAGACAAGAAAGGATCCCGAGAGAAACAATGAGATGATGTTTTTAAAAAGTCCTTCTCCCCGCCATGCAATCTATCTTCATGGGGAAGAGACCCCGCCCTGGGTCTGGGGTGGGCGGTCCTTCGCCGTCAGCAGAGACCTTTCTAGAACGTCTCACTGTTGATCAGGAATTTCAGCTGTTTGCTCATGGTCCCAGTTAATATTAAAAAAAATTTTCTTTTTGGCTTTCTGGAAGGTCAAATCATACTAGGAGAAGCAGATTCTCCCTGCCCTCAAGGCTTTCATCAGAAATATGAGCAGAATTGATAAAATCTGGTAGCAGCGTGTACTCTGTCTACAAAGGTCAACACTTTCCTTTCATAAAACAGAAGCTGTCATCCTGCGGGGACGCAAGGTGAGACTGAGTCAGTGACCTGGGCCTGCCTTCCTCTCGCCCACAGGGCTGGCTTTTTTTCAGTGCTTGTCTGGAGTCCCGGGAGTAAACAAGCATAAAACAGACAGTTTGTTTAAGGAACTGGAGGAGAACAAGCTGGGGCCTCATGCATTCGTTTGCCTCACGGTGACAGAGGGAGCAGGTCTGGAGGCCTGGTCTGGCGGGGCCCACGTGAGCATTTTCCTGCCAGGATCACCCCCGCGATGATCACGGTCTAATGAGGAGACAGTAAATGAGTCACAGGGGACTTGTGCTGAGGCAGCTGCATAAAAACTGCAGGCTGAAATGTCACCACACATATATTTTTACTTTATGTGTGTGTTTTTTTTTCTTTCCCCACTAGGTATAAGATTTTTTTTCCCCCCCTCCAAGCATAACTCACATCTGGTAATATGGTTTAACACGGATCTTGGGGTGGGGCGGGGGATGGGAAATAAGAAAGAAGGTCAATAATGAACGATAGCCGTGAGCCAAGGAGGTGTCGGATCAGCGGGAGACAGTTTGAGAAATTCCACCTACTTCTTTTTCACTAAGCAAATGA